GTACAGATCTGGTGTGTCTACTGACTAGATGTGCATTATTAATGGATTTACTGGGAGGGAACAAAGTGTGTGCATGTGTGTTTCTCTGTGCCTGTTGGGTTGAGGAGAGGGTTAAGATGAAATCGTTGATGAATTATAATGAGCAGTAAGGTGTTTCAGGGGATAAGAGAGTTTTCTTTGGACAGACAATCGATAGCAGGCTGAAGGATTCCCATGGATGATGTGAAACATTGCCTTCTTAAACCTTGACCCTGCACAGCTGGACTGAATGTGTTATTAATGTGACCCACAACAATTCTGTGTGGTTTCCTGAGTTGGAAATTTAAACACTTTGGTGTGTTAGCAAAACTACAAACCTGCAGATGCACATGCATTCCATGAAACGTCACTTGAATATATGAAAAGAAATATATTTCCTCTCATTTCCCTCCATTGTATCCTGAATGTTTTTCCATGTTTTGCTCATTAAAACAAATTTTAAGTGATCTTTTATTAGAATGACAATAAAACATATCTGCTTTTTGGTTTAAAGTTGTAGCGCCAATACAAACACATTTGTTAGCCAGTTGTAAGAGGAAAATTCATGTTGCTATGCAATGTAAGACAGAGTAATATAATAAGACATTGTGTATTCTCCTAGGGAAGCACAAACGTGTCGCAGTAAAGGTCGCACTGTCATTAAGGAACGTGCCACCATTGGCAGGCACAAAACACATGGCAGAAGTCTCCTAGTTCCAGAAAGGCTTGAGGACCACTAAGACCCGCACACTGAAACCTGACATGTTACTGTGCTCACCGGAGACCAGCTGCATAAAAGAAACTCTGCCAAATCTTCACAGAGTTTATGTGAGTGAAGAAAGCCATGGAGCTCATGAAAAATTCTCTCTCTTCTCCTGAATACAGACTGATACTTCCATCAAGTACTTCGTCCTCACCTCAGTCATGTATTGTGGCGTCAAAGGCAGCTGGATCAGGGGCATTATCTGTGTTAGATTTGCAAAGCTGCAGTAGTGCCAAAGGGGGGGTTCTAAACATCGTAATTAAAAGTGGTACTGCAGGGGCGGCTTTAAAGTTGAGATGCAGAGCTTCTCTCGTGTTCAGCAGACAAGCATAGACTGAATGACGGCAGAACACATTTTAATCACATTAGCGAAGTCTAGTTCTATAGTCCATCACAGGTTTTGGATAAAAAGTCTATTACTTTCCTTGAACCCCCTGCATCAGCAAAGCATTTTAATTTGCTTCACAATTAGCAGAGCTTCATTTCATTAACAGCAAAATTTAAAGGAAAAACAGCTCCCTAATAAAAGAATATCTACTTTCTCTTCCACCATCCGCCTCATCAGTTTCCTTCATGACTTTTCTTCATGACTTCCAAATCCCTGCAGTAAAAAAGAAGTAATTCCTTAAGCAATTCCCTGCTTTTGCTTTCACAAAAAACATGTTTTAAGTGGTGTTTTTATTGTTGTTCTATAGTTTTTCCTACTGCTGAAGAATCCTAGGGAAAATGAGGAGCAGTATGGTGCTTTAGTTGCCCTTTCACAAACAGCCTTTTGTGAAGCAACTTGACAGCAATGGAAAAAGGAAGGGGAAGTATTTGAAAAGGTGTGTTCACACATACGAATTCAGCAGCAGGCTGTCTGACCTTCAGTGAATCTGTAGTTCTGGGGGTGCGCCGCACTGGGCACATACATGTAAGTGACATATTCTGCCCCGACTGCCCCGAGTTGTTTTCTCACGTATCTGTTGTACTATGTACTGCTACATATTTCAGTGATTTGGGGCCACAAGTCATTCTTTATTGTCTCAAAAACCCGCTAAGACACGTTGAAGAGAGTTGGGAGTTTTTCAAAATTTTGTTTAAAATTCATTCACAGAAGGATGAAGCAGTGCACAACTATGTGCTTGTGTTTCCAAATGGATCAAGATGATTGTGATTGGCTGTCGCTCACACTGCGTCAGAGAATATTTGCATAATGTTGAGCCTTCCAACTTTCCCCTGCTTGGCACTTTTGGAATCCTTTGGGTCCAGCGGGTGGCCACAAAGTCTCCTTGACAATGAATGGAAGCTGAGCAGGGCAGTGGGATGAATACAAAGTGAGAAAGAATAAAGGACAGCAACACACTTGGAGAAACACAACATCTATGTTTTTCTTTTCATTATCACTTTTCTGGTGTTCACAAAAAATGCATAGTTCAGTGGGGGCGCTCAACGAAGCAAATGTTGATTAAACAGTGACGATGGAGCTCTGGGTGCATTTCAAAAGCCCTGCGATCACATCCCCATTGATAAGTGGACGCGAAAATGTGAAGAGAGGCAGAGAATAACACATGTATGGAGACAGCTGAGGCACAATGGGCCCCAGAGTGGCAACTCTCAATTTCAGTCTTGCCTGGCATCAAAGTGGCCTGTGAATGTGTGAAAGACACTGGACTGTTCCAGGTTTGTGGTCCACTGTGGCTAGTATGAATTAGTGTGTATGACATCGTAAAAACTATTCTAGATCAGCATTTCTCTTCAAAAGAAAATCTAATAAAAGGGCAGCGATGAATGCATGTGATGTTAAATGCTTTTTGGTGTGCAACTCCTAACCTGAAGCTGCTGGGCTTCATGGTTCTCCAGTCCTTCCACAATTGGAGCAAATCTCTCTTTATTGTTTCTCTCCGCAGCAATTGTCATGGCAGCTAGAATCTTATCCAGGCTGGAAGAAAACAGAGAACAGGGAGCAGGCAAACACAAAATTCAACAAACGCTTTTATCACCTCACTGACAGGACATTTACTCACAATTTTCAGCTCAAACACCATGAATGTTATCTTCCCTTCTGTGTAGTGTGGACATTTACTCAGCCTGTCTTTGGTCACCCTGACAAATGCTACTGCTTTCCATCTCTTTTGTATGCAATCTGGTCTATTATTTCTGCAGTAACCAAATTTGTCTCTAAGTAAAAGCTAGACAAAAACAGGGTTTTACTCCAAATGTGTTTAGTTGTCAAAGCAACTGTGGTATAGCGTATGTGGCTGGATGAGAAACGGTGCAAATTATTGCAGGGATTGTCAGACTAATGTACAAATATACCTAGTGAGAAGAAGAAGGCAACTAAATTAGAGTATTTGCAAAGGCTCACAGCAGCTCAGCTAAATAGAGCACAGGACAATTTCACCCTCTCTATAGTGAATGAAAGAGAAAGTTTATGCTAACACACATGCCACCACACACAGAGGACTGCAATAAAAGTAAATTGATGTCTTATGAGCACTTAAACAGTGATTTACAATATGCATACAAATTGGCAACAGGTTCTCTCTGTCACTCCAAGGCCACATTAGCTATTTTACCTTCATTAACTGAGAAACTGAACAGCTTAACTGCCCTGTCCTCAAGTGTTCTCGTCCCGTGGGTACACAAGAGCTCTTAGTTTGACAAACAGGTTCCTCTCTTCATTACGATAAATAAGCCAAAACATTTGGCACGATTCCAAATATGTGAACATGTTTAATAATAGCCTTGTTGGTGCCATTATTACTACCTCACATCAACCCCAACAATAACACTTTCAGGATGACAAAATACTAGCAGTTGCTTTGTGAGTGAGGGAGATCATGTGTCTTACCAATAGGACTTTATGTGTGGAGTAAGCCTGACACAGAGATAAATGGAACGGCCACGCTCTGTGATAGGGGTTACAAAGTCACAGACGAGCACGGGGAGCTGCATACTGAGTAGCTTTAAAGCCAGATCAGACGGCGCTTCAAAACAGGCAAGCAAGATCTGCTTAACTTGTCGTGTTCCCTTTTGATGCTGTCAGCTGAAGTGGGTGTTGAACATGAGTCAGTGTCACAACATCAGTTGGCAGAGAATTTTCTGAGCAAGAAAGTTGCAGCTCAGCACCTTTGGCTGTCATTTCACCAGGATACATATATTTTAGTACAGAGCTATGATCATGGCAAAGATCTCCATGTTGACTTCAGCCTACTGTATTTGTGAGCACTTTAATGATTGCAAAAAGAGAGCGACAGAGTGTGTGTGAGAGAAAGAGATTTTTACTCTATCTACACCCAGTATCTGCTTAAAGTAGCTGTGCAAGTAGCAAGTGCCAAAGTGGTATAATGCTAAATACAAGATATCCATATTGGTCAAATTTAAATAAATATTCAAGAGCATCTATCTGCAAAAGCTATGATAAAATTGAGTAAATCCAACTGCAATAACCAATTTTAACAATTGTCACATCTCACAAAAAGTCTTTGTGTCAGATTAATGAGTAATAATACTGAGTAGAAATATCACAGACTGCCTGCAAGCTATGAGAGCTATCTCTATTGTCGGTCTGGACTGGTTTTATGTCTGGAATAAAATCTTTATATGTAATATAATCTGACCGCATTTAGTTGCGCTGACTGATAAAAGTTACCGTCGACCACACATCATTAATTCTGTTAAGAGAATAAACCTTCATAGTGCAAAAGCTGACTAATAAAATCAAAATGTCTTTCACTAAACAACAAATGAAAGGTTTCTATAAAATTATGTGTTGTTGATCCAACATCTAAACCAATCAGCTCTCGAAACAGGTAAGAGCCAGGCGTTTCCCATCATGCCCTGAGGTCTTGCAGTCTGTGGAGAGCGACCATGTGATAGTATCACTAATTATGTTTGCATTTCATCAGAGCAAGTCAGGATCAAGTCGGACAGAAAGCTAACGGGCATGGACTACGCGGCGATCGATCTGGTAATCGATCGATTCTGCGCAGATCGGTCTCATCTCGAATATGGTGGCTCGCTAACACAACTTACTCTGGGGAACAGAGCCATTATTATTGGTATTAGCCTCACCTGTGCTCCCGCTATGTGCTGTGAAAAAAGGCCTTTTAACACCTTATGCAATTAACACATAACATCAAAACATCTAAAGATATATTTGCACAGATTTATGCTCCTAACCGAAAATTCTTAACTCATAAATAATAAAAGCAACTATAGTGCTCTAAGCATAACAAATCAAATAGTAATATTTAGAAAATAAATGAAAAAAGTATTTGGGATATTCTTTTATTTTCAATTATACTGTAGTTTCTGTTTAATGGATAGAGATTTTTAGGAGCACTTATACAACTATGTTTTAAAAAAATATGAAATTAATGCAAAAGAATGCATTAATTGGCTGTTAAGTCAGAAAAATCCCACTGCTTGATATTCTGTAACTTAAAAACAATTTCAGAAATCATGTACCATCACAGCAAGGGTCAGAGCTGTAAAGCATAAATGCCTATTTGGATGGTCAGGGATGTGAGGCACACTGCTGAAATCAGCTTCTCCAACAAAATTTGTGGTTTTGTTTATTTCTACCACTGCATACAGACTGACTTTGAAGTGCCATTGTTATTCTAGTCTGGCCCTGTGGGAAACAATAAAAAACACTCCCCTAAATCCAATTTATAAGCTGTCAGCCAGGTTGTGTGTCCGTGGCAAACTACAATGAGTAGTTCAACACATTAAACAGACTAAACTGCATCATCTGACAGTGCGCCCCAACAGGTTTCTGTACTGTCTGAGGTCATCGGTGTATGCAGCATGTGGTCACAGTGAGTGGAAATGTATGCAGGTGCTGCGGTCTTTGTACGAGTACAGGCAAACCAGTGGGATAAGACTGAAGCGAGGGTGATATCCCAGTGTTTACAAGTAGAAGTCATCTCCTTCCCTCTTGCAGTTTCATGAACATTACAAAAGGTGTAAACCTAGCAGAAATCGAGCACACCACCTCCATCAGCCATCGCCAGATTTTCAAACGATGCTGTGCTGTTTCCGCATGAGCTGTAATTTACTGAGAAAGATAGGGAAATGTGTTCCTCACACAACACTGAATGAAGACTAAGCAAAAGCACTTAAAGGGCCAGTTCACCCATACCACTTACACGCAGATGTATCGACCTTGCAGATACCTTTGGTTTTATTTGTAGTTTTAATTTTAAATGTAGAGACATCTGTCCCTTAAACTCTGGAATGTGTTTTACAGTTTTAATGAGAACACTCCCCTTTGAGGCCTGTGGATTAAATTGTGTGTTTTGAAAAGGGATTTTGGTTTTATAAATGTCATTATTTCAGTCTTTGAGCACCATAAATAGAATTTTATTCACACCCATTTATTTGGGGTGATGTAAGATGTCTCAGTGATGAATTTCTCAAAACCCGCAAAACTGCAAATAAAATCAAAGTGCCCGATTAAGAAAACCAACCATTCACTGTGACAAAATCTTATTTAAGACTGCTGAAATCATTTACATGTTGCGTGAGGGCATATGCAACTGAATATCTACAAATATTTCTTTAATGATGATGAATACAAGAGCAAGGTGTGCAGGAAAAATGTGGCGAATGATCAGGCAAAGTTAATTTGACTTACATGTTTTCTTCTCCGATAATACAGAAGGCAGAGAGGATTTTGACAATCTCTGTCATCATGCTGGTCTGTTTCGGGTCAATTGCCCGCGCCAGCAGCAACAGACTTCGCTCATCTCCCAAGATTCTTTGCAGTCCATACTGTAAGACATGGAGGGGATGAGGTAGGAAAGAGAAAAGGTCCATCGGGTATAACTTAATGAGACCATTTGAATTCTTGGAGAACATTCCCTTCATGAAAATATTAATTATACAAAGAAGCTCTACATTAAACAGAGTTAGCCTTAATGTTCCTTTAAGAAGGGACAACGAGACCATTCGAGAAAATGGAGAAGTTGATGAATTAATTCAATTCAGGACAGGACTATAGGGACAATACTTAAAGTCTCCTGTACCGTACCTTATAGTCTCCACAACTGAAGGAATGGGCAAAGATGACCACATGTGGGACTAACTCTAAGACAAGCAATACCAGTAGTTCATCTCTCCTTGAAATGCGTGCCACTGGTGAAAAATGAGCCAGGCCTTCCCCAAAAAAGATAATTAAAAGATTTGGGACTGTGGGTTTGAAATGGTAAAATTAGCGCCCCTTCACTGTCCAATTAACCCCAGTTTGTCAGAGTCCACATTCCAATCAGGTTTGGAATCCTGGCAACCTGAAGTACTATTAGAAATTTCTAAGATGCTTATGCTTTTTATTTATTGGCAAAAAACATTACAATGCCTCTCAAAAAAAGCAAAGCTGCAACTTCTTTTGAATTATCTCTTGTAATTTAGGACTGCATCTGAGCAATATTTGGTTACCATGCAGGTATACTGGAATTAAATGAGCTAACCGATTGGTCATTTTGCCTTCATTCTCTCATACAAACCTTATTGTTCATGAAAGCCTTCAAGCACTGGATAAGTTTATGCTGGTTCCGTTTATCAATATTCTCTTGCCTGAAACAAAAATTGAAAAGAACATTGATTTCATGAACAGAACCTAGTGCTATCGAAATGACACAGATGTGGGATGTGAACACTCACTGTTTCTTGTCCAGCAGCTTCTCCAGAGCGTCCAGAAGAAGGCCGAGACCCTCATGGCCGAAGTTATTAACCCAGCTAAAAAAGGCAAACACACAGAAATGAGTTACCCAATATGCTTTCAAAATTGTTACTGCTTTGCTGGTATTGGAAGCCATGTTGATACACTGAAAGAAGCAAACTCAAGCAATATTATATTAACCTCAGAGGAAATCAGTCATTCAGACCAATATAAAAGGTTTAACAGTCACTTAGATAAACTGACTGTTGCAGTGGTTTTTAATTCCTAACAGGGAGAGCAGCAAATTAAAAACCAGCCTGCCCTCACTGATGCTGAATACAGTGTGCATCAGTTTGAATTTACAAGCAGATGAACACCCATCCATCTTAACTAGTGTTTCCATTGCTAAGCAGTTTGTATCCAGGCCCCACTGTGAGCTGCTTTGTTCCTGTGCCAAAAGATTAAGCAATGCAAGAAAGATAACACTGTAATCGATAATGGATCGTGAGAGATAATTGGCTATAAACCGCAGTGTATCAAGAGACAGCAAATGATCCAGTGCAGATGAGCTCATTTGTCTAAGCCAGGGAAGAGGGAGGCAGGAGCAGGGTGGGAGGGACAGTGTGGTCACAGCCAGATTATGTCATTAGCATTACTTGTTTTCAGGCCCCTAACTGTCAATAACACAAAACGCATCGAGTAATTTTCTGACATTAACGGGGCATAAGTCAATGATTTATCTTGGCTTCTTGACAATGATTTGAAATAATAATGGTTTGAATATTAAAGTCATTTGTATTGACTCAGTGAGATAGAAGAGACCCTCAATTAGGCATGAGATGCATTAGCCTGAGGCAATTGGTGAAGCTGAAGTGAGGTATTTGTTTGGTCTGTGAAGGAATCTGCGGACTCTGCAACCCCCTACCCCACCATTACTCAAATTTTATTAGTGGACAAGCAAAACCAATTTATAAATCATTAGTATTTACTGTAGTTTATAATGATCTATTTTCTAAACAAAAATGTAAAATTTTAAATTGATAAGTGCCTGTTTACAGAGGGCCTTCAAGTTTGAATGCATGTGCTTTGCACATATTTAAGGCCACAAGAAAAAATAAAGAACAAACTGGCTGAGTTTACTGCAGAATAATAATGCAGTTACTTGTATTTGTGACACAGAAGTGGTAGGAGTAAATGAGAGACTAGGACAACAAAGAGGGAGAGGAGACGACATGGCTGAGAAGGTACAGTTCAGTGAGCCCCCAGTCTTTGTTTACACTCCTTAGTAATGATGGTAATGTTAGTCTTCACAGGACAGGAAATGGAACAAATATTTGTGAAGAGATAGGCTGTTTATTACACAGTGTAAATGCAATATGGGATTCTGGCAATGCTGTGTACACAATTATTTGTGTGAGAAAGCACTGGAACAAATGCGCTTCGCCCTCTGTGTTCATATATCACGTATCATATCGTGATTTAAAATCAAGTCGACTGCCACAGCAAAAAGATGCAAATGTATAGCATGTTGACTGTGCTGTAATTCACCACACAGTGACTATGTGCTTTAAATGCATTTCTAATCACATTAATAACCAAAGTGGTGGTTTAACATCAGCTGAAAAATATATGGTACCAAACATTTGGAGGTTCATTTCCTGTTGAACTGAATGAGAAAATACATCCACAATTTTGACCAATACTGTTAAAAATGTTTTATAATTGTTATATGTATGATTTCCTTATCTACTGTATGAATTAACATATCATTTAACACACACCCTATTTGGAGAATGCCCACCGTATGCTTTCTAATAGTGTAACAAAAAAAAAATTGATTTTTAAAATAAAAAGCCATTAGATATATTAAAAATGAAGACCTATTATTTAGTATTCTTAGTTACTCCTTATGTTTTATGTTGTTCACCACTGTTTTTAACTGCATTTCTATTTTGGTTCTTTTTATTCTAAGCTCTTTTCTATTTTCATTTCCACTCTCCTCTGTCTTAAACTTATTTGTTACTTTATAGTCTATTTAGCATTTGATTATAATTTAGCCTTTGACTGTATAAATCCATGCATTCCTCATCTTTTCTGTGAATTAATAAAGTTCTTTATCTCTCTCTAGCTCTACAAACCACTCCAGTGGTCAGGTTAAGCCCAAATTTACTTTTACTGTGCATCTAACATTAAATGCTAAACATCTTAAAGGATAAGGCCGATTGTTTTTGATGCTAATTGTATTTTCAGCAATCTCCATACAGAGACTAAAACCAACAGTGATTTGCCTCTAATCACAGTTCATGTCTGTCAGAACTGGATTAGCTTGTTCATCTGTGCAACAGATCTCCGTTGTTCAAAAACGACTCAAAGAAACACATCCCTGGACTGGGTTGTCAGGATTGGCGCGTTAAGCTGCCGAAAATGTTGTGGTGAACTCTTTAACAAGAGCTCAGACACTGAACAAAAAACTAATACAAGACACAGTGTAACACAAAACGCACATACAGATCGGTATAGCAGTCCAAGATCAGAGCCAGCAAACACATACAGCAAAGGAATCCAAAAAGCGTTGTCCAACGGGAAGTCCGATAAATCATACACCAGTAGGCAGTCCGAAGTTTGAAGGGGCAGGCAATATACGGTGGTCAAGAACAAAAATCCAGAGTCAGATACTAAAACATCAGGCAGGAATAAATGCTGGAAAGAAGGAGCTGGAGGGTTGGGTGTGCAGTACATTTTTCATCAAAAACAGACGTCTTGCTGCAGGTTGCAAAAAGGCTTTTAAGGCACTAAATATGTTGACTCCTCCCTGAGTGTCTATCATTTTTTGTCCCAAGACTTCTACCCTTAGGCCTTCTTCAGCTCGCCTTCTAAATGTCCCAAAAGTCACCACAAAGAAAATAAGAGACGGTCCTGAAGCTATGAAGTGACCTCTCTCTGTTCATCAGAAAAACTGCCTCAGTGGACAACATATCATTACAACTAACATAAACAGTACTGACGACACCACTACTAGAGTGTGTGTGTGGTTGTGTGGACAAGTTTTAGCTCAATACCATCGATGTGCCGACATCTGGGCCCAACAATCGGTTTCTAACTTTCTCTTATAAGAACACTGCTTTCTTTATTGTAACATGATTACAAACAATATCATTTTGAGGTTTGGAGTATTACCAATGAGTATTCTCATCAGAGAACTGTTATTGCTCAGGATATACGTAATGCAGCAACCTTGGCCCTATAAACCTCATGTTTAGTTGAACCCTTTCCTTATCAGTCTCTTCTTCAGACGTTGGCGTGCATCCAAGAATTTCATTAACTTAGGGGAACTTGTTCATCTAATATTGATGGCTATAATCCTCTAGTTAAGTGCCACCAAATTGTGTTACTTTCTGCAATCATGTATATTCCGCAGGCAAAATGAAAAATTAATGGTTTGTCTTAGGGAAGCAGTTCTACTTTACAGTTTGTGCTATTCCCGCCAGTTTGACGGAGTTATGTTAGCTGTTATGAATTAATTTCAGCCTAATCAAAGGTTTATTGTTCGGCCTAATACAAGACAAAATGTCTTGCAGTGAGATGACCACTAGTCCTTTTGTCAAATAACATTCGTTTCCCAAAAGACCAAAAGAATTAGCCATGCATGAGCAAATATGTGTTCGTCCACCAAATGTCTATGCTGCGTTTTCTGTTCTAAATGGTGGTCTGGAGCCAGTCCAAGCATGCATTTCATGAGAGGCAGGATACACTCTAGACAAGTCACCAGTACAACTTTGACGTATCTGTACTTTACTCAAGTATTTTTATTTTCTGCTACCTCATACTTCAACTTCACTACATTTTAGAGTCAAAAACTGTACTTTTTTATTATTTATTGGACTTTTCAGCATCAGATCAACTACACAAAATACACAATGAAATCATGATAGTTTATTGATCCCTAGTGGGAAATTCACAAGCTACCCAGCAGTCATTTAAATTATAGGTATACAAGGTAGTTTAATTAGCTCCACCTTTAGCAGCTGCAACATGAGAATGATGAAAACAATAACACATCACCAGTTATAATCAGGTGGCACAGTGGTACAGTGGTTAGCACTGCTGAGTGTGAGTGTCTGTGTGGTTGTCTGTCTGTAGGTGTCAGCCCTGTGACAGACTAGAGACCTGTCCAGGGTGGACCCTGTCTGGGAATGGCTCCAGGATAAGTAGTATAGATAGTGGATGGATAATTATAATCAAATAATATGACATACAACAATGTAACGTGCCATTCTGCATGACTATTTCTACTTTTAGTACTTTAATGTAAATATATTTTGGTGCTAATACTTTTGTACTTTCACCTAGGTAGCATTTGAATCCCTGACCTTTACTTGTAATAGAGTATTTTTAAATTGTTTTATTACGTTCACTTTAGTAAACAATCTCAGTACTTCCACCACTGCATTTTGCCTGAGTGAAAATGATACACCTGGTGCCACTATGGGCTCTTATTTTGCTCAAGGGAATACAAGTAGTTACAGGGTATACTGCCAAAACTGAGGGCAAAATATAATAACAAAGCATGTGGGTAAGAAGTATAGAGTGTAAATAGAGTTCTGCAGATACAGCAAGGGAAATGTCAGAATACGATAAAGATTACTGCGCATCACCAGTTCGAGTATGTGACTCGACAGCGACAGTAACAGTGAGAGACAGACACTCTCACACTATGTTTGACTCATCACTGGTCTCTTGTTTAGATAGCTTATACATGCATTGATTTCAGTCTATAGACCAGTTTTATTGTTTTATCATAGCCAGGTGGGGAGCTTTGCTATTGAAAGCTTCTGTACAAGTGCAATACATTTCAGATTGTATTACAGGAAAAGTCATTCAATTGTTCCTTTGAGGGACTACTGACTGATTCAGTGCTACAGTATTCCAACTGAGGACCAATGCTCTATGCAACGAATAGCTGTGAACATTATAGCTTGAAACCAAGCACCACCAGTGTCTGCCCAGTAATTTACCACATCAAACATGTAGCTACATTATACTCAGATCAATTTAATACCCTACTGAAATAACCTTA